CTGGTTTCATTGTTTTGAGGAAAACAGCAATAGCAAAAAACGCACAAAGCGGGTGCTTTAGTTTTGGCCAATACTGTATGTATATGTTTATGTAAACACTTGCTTAAAGGTACGTACGTACATACATACATTGGTTATATGTATGTATCTACTTACATACATAAATAAAATGCAAAATGTATGCATGTATGTATATATTTTTGTTAAAAAGCATAGATATATGGACATATTTTGAAAAAATTGTCCACAAACGATGAAACAATGACGTCACTATACGTTAATTATTTACATATATAAGTATTTATTTTAAACATTTGGCACAGCATCATCGAGTCTACATTCGAGTTGTTTTTCAGTTTTCGTTTTCGCATTCGCATTTTACTAAATTTGCAAATCGCTTGAACAACAACAAAGCGACTTAGTTTCAAAGGCACACCACATTCTATGTAGATAAAACCGTTACGTATGTATATATTTTTTTGATTTTGCAAATGCGGCAGTTTGCGCAGGCGTCTAGAATTTGCATTGAATTAAGTAAGTAGTCACTCCATTTGGTAAGTAAAAAAAAATTCTGTTGCAATCGAAATCGATGCATTGCATTTTTAGCACGTTATTGGTGACGCTATTTTGACGTAGATGTCGTAAAACTGGGCATAAATATATTCACATAAAATCACATACCGTGTTTATATGTATGTACATATACATATATGTACGTACATTAGGGCGTCCCTTATTTTTTATTTTGAAAGAAATTTCAAGTCTCACCCTCCAAAAAAGTTGAGATTGGCTACAAAGAGAGCTGCCCTAAAATTTTACACCTCTTGGACCACGTCTTTGCTACCCGACTTGCCGACTTTGAAGTTTGAGTTGCTGTAACTCATACCACATGGTTACCCATGGGCATACATGCGTATTGGAGCGTGTTCACGAGGATCGTTCATTATATTCTAACTGTACAAAGAAAATTTTAAATTAAGATTATTGAAAAAAAATTTTACAGGCAAGTTAAAGAAATAAATTTACCTAATTTAGTGATCAAAAATTAAATGAGATTTTATACACTAAATAACTGGACATGAATCATTATGTGGTATCAGTTAAAGCAATTCAAAATTCAAACGCAAGTCGGGTAGGGAAGGCGTGGTCCAAGGGGTGTAAAATTTTAGGACAGTTCTTTTTATAGCCATCCTCAACTTTCTGGGGGGGTGATACCGATAATAGGTGTAAATAAATCTGTCCATACAAATATGGGACAGCCTAATGTATATACATATGGCTCATTTGTTAAAAATACTGACACAACGCGAAAGACGAAATTTTTGAGCAAATGAAGCAGACTTAATCGTTACAAAATGCTTTATATTCTGTAAACAATTTTTTGCTAAAATCTGAGTGCAATAGTTTACACGAAAGAAGAAAACGTACATCTCTATAGATACTCTATATAGAGACTATATACATATAGTGCTGAACTGAATATAGAACTGAGGAAACCTGAAATTTTTAAGTTTTTCACTAACCCCCCTATCATGAATTTTCACACGATAGACGATAAACGCTTGCAAGCGTATCGTACGAAATCAGTTCTCGTATAATCGTTTTCATACGCCCGACAGATGTATTGTTGTGAATGGCTGTGGTTTTTTTTTTCACTTTTTATTGAGAACCAGCACAAATCAGCTACGCTAATTATCGGATTTCATACGACAACATCGATTCGTAATAGATAATAAATAACAGAATGCAAGCGTCTATCGTGTAGCGTACGAATTTGGTTTGGAACTGTGATTTATTTTTTTTTTTTCGTAGTAATTGCAACTTACTATTTATTGAAAAAAATATTTGATTCCTTTCAAATATTTACATATGTACTTTTTTCCTCCAAATAAGTTTGTTACTTCGAAAATAAATGTGAAAATAAAACTATATCTAAAATTTAAAATAAATTTATTTTGTAAATTTTAATTATTAATAGGCTTTTAAAAAGTACCGTTGGGGTATTAAAGACGACTAGTCTCTATTTGTACCAGGTTTGGGTATTAAAGTCGTCTAGTCTACATTTGTACCTGTGCGGGTATAAAAGGGTACAATTAGTCTCTTCATAGGACATGCTCGAACAAAAGGGAACAGTTCAGTCCATACAAAGGGATGCAAAGTGCCATTAGCCGCATGTTCCTTTGCGACTCATCGCGGACACATCCCGGACTCGTCGCATTTTTTGCAGGGTAGATACTATAGTAGCAGGGCCGCCATGAGAACTCGTCTAAAACGAGGTAAGAACAGAAATATTGAGGCTTAATAACTCCAAAGCGCCCAGAGCCAACGTTTTAGCGACTGAGCCGCTCTAAGCTGTTAACTCGAAATATTTGACGTTGCGCCTTTAATGTGCGGGATACATTATGTGAACGATCAAAAGGTCAAACATTGTCTAACACAGTTACAATTTCGGAGCTTCCGTGTGTTACGATTGGCCCCATGGATGTGAATTGCCAATATTACATTGCATGCGCTTCAAGTTTTTCGTTTTAAACCTTACCGTCCAGAGGCGGCAAGGGTCCTACAGTTATCAAGAGCTACAGTGGCGGGGAAGCTCAGCCGAACACATTAAACATGTTTTTTTTCCGATTTTTATTGGGTAGTTATGTACATATTTTATAATAACATCCGCCCACACTGCCAATAAATTTTTGTCTACCACCTGTTATCTATTCCTTATCAATCTTCCATAAAGCTAAGTGCGACAGTGATTTGCTGCCAATTACGCAATCATCCTCGTAGCATTAACATATTATTATAATCCCATTCGTCATTTGTATAAAAGTTAGAAGGTATTAATCTAATTTTATATCCACTCCTGTCTCATTTCAGTTTCCGACGACAAATCGAAATGTTCAAGATTAATACAAAAACGGATGCCATCGCAATACAGCGTCAGGCCAAGACGACACCACTCGTCGATGACTATGAAATCTCCAACAAGGTGCTCGGCCTGGGCATCAACGGCAAAGTGGTACAGTGCACTAATCGCAAAACCAAACAAACATATGCGCTAAAAGTGCTGCTGGACAATCCGAAGGCCAGACGTGAAGTCGATCTGCATTGGCGTGCAAGCGGCTGCAGACACATAGTCAACATTATGGATGTCTATGAGAACACATATGGCGGCAATAAATGTCTGCTTGTCGTGATGGAATGGTGAGTTGTGTGACATATGCAGAATACTTCGTTATACGAATATGCACCGAATTCATTGTTTAATTTTCCTGTTTATTTTTTGTCAGCATGGAGGGTGGCGAACTGTTTCAGCGCATACAAGACAATGCGGATGGCAATTTCTCGGAGCGTGGTAAGCGCCTAAAGTGACATTATCTTATCTTGAGTAATTTTTAATGCATTTTCTTGCTTTGATTGCCATAGAGGCCGCACAGATCATGCACGAGATCTGCATTGCGGTACATTACTTGCATAGCCGCGACATTGCGCATCGTGACTTAAAGCCAGAGAATCTGTTGTACACCACCAATGATAAGAATGCGATATTGAAATTGACAGATTTTGGTTTTGCAAAGGAAACGCTGGTAAAGGACACACTACAGACGCCGTGCTATACGCCATACTATGTTGGTGAGTGTAAATGGTAACAAGGTATTTTTTTAGTTGAACAGGTTTTTTTTGTTTAATCAATGGGGCATCGCAGAAGAAGGCACAATGCGACATAGCTTTTGTATCTCAATGCTGAGACCCCAACCCTAAAAGCCTAAGACGTCTTCAGTTTTCCTAATAAAAACTAAAAGGACATTCATAAGGTTGTGAAGTTAGACTATAGGCATAGAAATCGAGTCATCGTCATTCTGTCATATATGGCTTAATTTAAAATATTTGCTATGACAACCGACTCCTTGGGAAGGAAATAAGATTACCGATAAACTTGCAGGGATATAGCATAAACCCCTTTCATCGGCCCATAGGCCTTCTGCGGCATATAAAAGGTGACGGACGCTCTCTACTCTAGCCAAAATAGAGGGAAAAGCTCACAAAAATCGTCACTGTGATAATCGAGAATGGACAAGTAACTGTCAACGCCCCTGTTGTAAAGGTTATAAAAGTTGTAAAATCTATAAGGTTGACGTGTGATTAGACTAGTAACTACTGAAAGAATCATAGTCTGGGTCGTTATGTATTTAATAAGTTAAGCAACAGGCTTAGAGCAGAAGCGTTTTTATTGAGCATCGCGCCTAATTAAGTAGTAACATAGTATCAATTATCCGCCTACGGTTTTAGAGGTCCAAGGGTCTATATCACTGGCGTAGTCTCTGATAGCGAAATTTTAATGAATCTGATTTCTAAGGAATCAGATTTGGGTTTATCAAACCTTTTTGGTTAATTGGTTATCTAGTTAAAGTTTACTATTCCCCAGTGGTATTTATTTATTATAACTCGATAACCAGCGAGGTGTGAGTATCCCGATTTGCTTTTGGTTCGCTACATCTTCTTAGCCTTTCTTTTTTTTTGTGCCTAAAGTAAAGTGTTTGTGTGACAATTTATGCTGAAACTGAAATAGGAATAGTTGCGTTCCAGATGCTTCACGATTTGCAGGTTTTTACAGGAAGTCGTTCCAGGTGACCACCTCCCATAAGGTTTATTAATGGGGAAAACAGCTGTTCCTGCAAATCGTGAATTTCGTGAATATCGTGAAGCATCTGGAACGCAACTAATATCTCCACTGTTTCCTTGTAAATATTAACCATAGTGTTAAAATTTCCTCGAAAAATGCCCCCTAACCTAAAAAGACTTCGAAGTGTCACACTTTATATGACAAATTTGTTTCTAGTTTTGCACGTTCCTGGTTTATGCATTTAACGGAATTACATTTATTTTCTTGCAGCTCCCGAGGTGCTTGGTCCCGAAAAGTATGATAAAAGTTGTGACATCTGGTCGCTGGGTGTTATCATGTACATTCTACTCTGCGGCTTTCCACCATTCTACAGCAACAACGGTCTCGCCATCTCACCGGGCATGAAGAAGCGCATACGTACCGGTCAATATGATTTTCCCAATCCGGAATGGGCAAATGTCAGCCAAGCTGCCAAAGACTTAATCAAAGGCATGCTAAATGTGGATCCCACCAAGCGTTTGACAATCGATCAGGTGATCAGAAATAATTGGATTGCACAGTACACACAAGTGCCACAAACACCGTTATGTACGGGTCGTATGCTAAAGGAGGGCGAAGAGACATGGCCGGAAGTTCAGGAGGAAATGACACGTTCATTGGCCACGATGCGCGTCGACTACGATCAGGTGAGCGAAAAAGTAAACGTTGATGTAACATATCAAAATGTTTTTTTCGAGTTTACTAATATCACTAAAACTTACATATGTATACACTCTTATTTTTCTTAAATTAAAATATAAATCAGATGCATGTCAAGGCGCTGGACAAATCCAATAATGCACTGCTGACGAAGCGGCGAAAAAAATTCGAAGAAGAATTGGCGGCGCAAAATAAAAAGTAAATAGCTTTTGTTTAAAAATGCAATTTACACAAGAACAAAAACCCATTTATGTATTTATAATAAACAAAAAAAAAAACACACACTTAATATTTGTTAATGGTTGCACTCAAGTACATAAGGTTTCTGGCCTACAGACGCGTACGTATGGAGTGATGCGGCGTTATAGACAACCTAAATAGTATATATACATATACTACTACATACTACCTACTAAATGGAGGAGAAGGTGCAACATACATACATACCTATATATTTGGACTCGTAGTGCGTGCTGAGCCTGCGCATTCCAGCAACCAAATGCGCATCGTCAAGTTTGGAGAGATATTTTTTGACAATTTGGACGGTATTTTGTGTAATTTTTACATAGAAACGATACCTAGTATAAAAAATAAGTACATAAATATACATACATAAAATATACACAAGAGATATAATGCGAAAGTGCTCTTTTTTCCTTTACTATGTAAAAGCTTATTTTAGTAGATTAAGTAATGCGCGTTGACAACTTTCAGCTACCGCTAATTAATGAATTGCTATATACATACATACATAGTATGTACAACCATATGTATGTATATTCGTTCATACATAAGTATGTACATACATACATGCAATGAAAGTATGCAAAAGTTCCAAAAAAAATTAACGGCTTCAAAGCAAAGGTTACTGTTTTCGATGAAAAACAGTAAAATTTAACTAAACTGCATTCATTTTTTACGTATGTAAATACATACAAACAAATATACATGCATATGTAAAAAGTGCGCATTACATATGTATGTTTTGACATTGCTGGCGCATTTAATATCTTATGAGCTTTTATAGGCAAATGTTTATACAAACATACATCCATTAGGAGCAAAATTCCGTTAGAAAAGCAATGTACCCAAATGTGAACCCTATTAAAATTTACATATGTACATACAACAAATGCTCACGTTTGTTATGTCTATACCTAAATCACCTGTGACCAATTAAATTTGTACTGTTGATTGAAAATGGTTTAAATTCATTAGGCATGTAATCAATTATTTACTACTTACATACAAACAAAAATATTAAAACAATTGAGATAATATTTGTACATACATACATACGTACATATGTATGTACATACATACATACATATACGCATGTATAATATTAATATTATTTGGTAAAGAGTATTTGTAGTTATAGGTATACTTAAAAAATGGACGAATGGATATGTATGTAGCTATAGTACATACATATTTACTTGTTAAAAATTATTAAACGAGTATATTATTAATGTATGGATTATGCATTAAAAATCATTAATAAAATATTGACTTGATTTTTCTAAAATATTGTCGAACGCTTTTGTAGGGCGGGCAACTATTGGACTCGCATGAGTAGTACTACTATACCGGCATATAGTATGCACGACTTGCAGCCTCACAGCCATGATGCAATTCAGAACGGTATTGTAAGTTAGCAGTTTCATTCTAAATTAAAAAAAAATAAATAAAAATGGGCATGACACCGCCTAATTATGATGAAAACTGGCTTCAGTAAGTAATAGGTTAAGCATCTTTGATATTTATCTATGTAGTGATGCTAAATTTCCAAGATTTGATATTTACAGGTATATTCTGCGCTGATGACAAAAATGTTCTGGCCGGTACATAAAATCCGTGTCAATTTTTAAACGTTCTTCGTATTCCTTGCTGGTAACAAAATATTGCCACATGAAATATGCAATGCCAGAATTTCCATAAATCTTCGTAGCTGAATTGCTGAATATTTTAATTGCATCAGAGAAGCGCAGCGAGTATGATCAAACTGAGTATATCCATACATGTTCTGTGCATATGCGTACATCAGAGTGTTGGCGTTTTCCTTATTTAGACGTATTTAAATGTTAAATATGCTGAGTGACGGGGAATATCAAAATAGGCACTCTTTGCTGATTACTAAACTGCATTAGCTCTGATCCAATACTTTTCGTGTAAAATCCTGTAAAAATGTCAAACAGCAAAATTACTCTCTTAAGTGAGAGTAAAAAGTGAGTAACAACCAAAAAGAACGGGGACAAAAGAAAGAACGTGGAGAAGAAGAAAGCATTTTTCCTGTAAAACCGTCAACCAGTGATCGCTTGACACTTTTCATGATTTTACCAGAAGAAAAAGTTCGGTTGCTCTACACAACTCTCCAAAAATCGCTCTCGTTTATTGGACTTTGGAGTACGGGATCATTTATGCTGTAACTTCCTGCAAATTCGTGTAAAATCCTGTAAGTTCATGGAGTCCTGGATCAGAGCTATTGTCATAAAATCGACAAAATATGTGCAATTTTTTCCTAGAATAAAACTTTCCAATTTCGAAATATTTGAACGTACAGATTCCAAAAGTAAGGACTTGCCACCTCTTATTCTGGCAGAAGTCCTTGGCAAGTCGGCTTGAAAGGAGCGTATTTTTCCAAAATATCACATGGAGCTTGGATAAGGTTTGAACCATCCAATTTTTCTACACATTCTCATTCTGTCATCGTAACCACGTGATTTGAGCTAAAAGTAAAAATCTTCTATGGAAGGATTCGGAAGATACCTCGATTATTCTTAATTTTTCGTAGTATGACAGTCCTAAATAAGTTAAAAATCATCCTATAGTAAAAATGTTGGACGCAACATCTATCCATCGCAAATAATATTCATTTAACTTTAGTGCAAAAGTAATTTGCTTGAGTTTTAAAAGTTGCAAAAACCGCGAATACTCATGTTTTTTTTTGCCAGTTTCTGCGATGAGTCACCATACTTTTTAGTCTTACTGTAGTAATTATTATAATCATTCTAATGCCGCGTCCAGCGTAGACACGACAAATGCGGTGGAAGTATTTTGTTTTGGAATAAAAGCCATTTTCACTACAAAGACAGACGATGTGCGGAAAACGAATGGAACGAAGTTGCTAAAAATGTTGTGATTCCAAATAAGTAAACAATAGGGCTGTTCAGGATGGTGAAAAAATGGATGTAGAAACAATTCTTAAAATAAAGTCTGAGCTAAATTAAAGGTTAAGACGTATATAGTAAAATTTCATGGGAAATATTTTCGTAGAACATTTTAACATTTTCAAACAGGAAATTTGGAAGTTCGTTAGAGAATTGATATGCTCTAGAAAATTATTCTTCGGAAGTTTTTACTAGGGGTATTCTCAGGCAAAAAGTCTTCAATAATCGATGCCAAGAAGGAATAACAGCCAAGTACAATTTTAAAAATTCTTTGTAGAAAAAAACCAAGTTTGAATCTTTTCAATGTAAAAAAAAAAAAATATAGTGTAAATCGGGTTTTGTTGTTATTCCTTTTTTACATAGATTTCATGTTTTGTTTTAATTTTTAAAGACTTACGTTTGTGAGATGAAGATTTTGCCTGTGGATACCCCTAGTAAAATTATCCGAAGATTAATTCTCTAGAACATTTTAATCCTCTCACGACCTTCAAAATTTTACCCCACAACGGTCTCTTAAAGTTAGGGTCAAAACGACCCTTTCAGACGGCAGCCAATGGATTAAAATGTTATACGAAACTATTCCCCATAAATTTTACTATATATGTATGCCTTAACCTTTAGTTTCGCTCAGACTTTTATTTGAGCTAATTTTTCTACAATTTTTTAGGCTTATCTCCCAAACAAAAATGTTTTAGTACGCACACTTACTAAAAGTTTTGTTTCGGGTGTAATTCGTGTTTTGTTTTTTTTTTTGGTTTTGTCGCACTATGTAATCTATTTTATTTTCTATTGAATTGTTATTTAAATTACCGTGGATAATGTCGACTCTCTACTGCAGAAAAAGTTATTTTCGTATCGATTTTATTGTTTATTAAATTTATATTTACAATAAATTTTTTTAACTTCATTAAGTTATGTATAATTACATCCTGATAATTAAAATAAAGAGGTTAAAAATTTATGAAGTTTGAATATTTGACGAAATGAGGAAAGGACGAAGCTCATAAAACGAAAATCAAATTGTCGATTATTAATCATTGAAATAAGACTAAAGACAAGAGGATATGGATGACCCACTTGTGGAATTCAATTTTGTTTTACAGAAACGGAAAAATTAAGAAAAAAATTTTAATACATAAATAAACGATCTCACTTATGTCAAATATCCAATTAAGTTAATTGATAACCAATAATATTTTATGTAATTCTTTTTTTTAATTAATTAATTAATTAATTATAATTATGTATTATTATTGAAAATTCAGCCTTGCCAACGTGTTTATGTATATGTATTCTATGTACAAAAGTGTGATGTCGTTATACATATACGAATTGTCTCTTGAACCCTTTTGATAATATATTGATAGTTCTATGCCTATAAAGTATTCTAAGCTCTATTGTACCCGACTTCTTATCCTTTCTTAGAGTGCTTTAATTTTTTGCACTTCTTTCCCGCCACGCAAGGATATGCATAATCTCCTATTACAATAGTGGGCGAGACTGGGGATTTGGTGCGCGTTGGTTTTTCTTCTTTATCAGTCTTAACAGACTCCTTCGAAGACGCAGATTTTGTCTGCAACAATTCGGTTTTTTCAGCTTCCTCCTTCTGTTGGTTGTGTCCCGAACCATTTTCTTTATTTTTTTCTTTGATTTTATCGTTGGGTATCGCTGCATGTGGTTTAAGCTGCCAGCGCATTTCTGCTTCCAATTGAAACTGAGCTGGCTCACCACTGTACATTTCAAAACCTAGCTCCATATTATTGAGATCACAGTTACGGCCCACTGAACACATTTCAATGCCTCCGTAGCAAAGTTCACCAGAATTGACGTACACTGGTCTGTCAAGGTAAAATACACTTTGCATCCAGTGTGTACGCATCTCACACGGATCCGTCCTGAAACTCATTGGCGTGTGTGACTTAGTAAAGAAGACATGAAAAAATGTTACGATGCCATCCACATGACCACTGCGGCGCATTTCGAGCATATATTTACAACGAAAGTTCAAATCCTTCTTTGTTGCAGTGTACATATTCAGGTACTTGACTCCAAATTGTGTGCTCAGCAACTAAATAAATGAAGTAAAAATACAGTTTAGACAAAATTAGTGCAAAAATTTGTTTGCGCCTACTTGCTGTGGCTGCACCAACTGAAAGCTCGGTTCGGACAATGCAAACTCTCGCACGCATTTCATGTTCACACCATATACATCATTCCACCATTCTACACGTTCATTTTTATTTTTAGTATCCTCCACAGCAGCCATAAATAGTTTTGCCACATCCGGTAATATGATGCCATTCTCCTTCTTCAGCCACTTATCACGCGCATAAATTACTAAATCACAAGCCGATTGGAAGAGCATAGAATAGCCCAACCAATTACATATGATTATATCTACTTCCGCAACTGGCAATTGTATCTGCTCCAAAGTTCCCTTGATTATATGTATCACATCAGCATAACCATTCTCACGCACAATTTGCTCAGTGTAGTCCAATACACTGGAAGTATCTACCGCATACACATGAGCTGCACCAGCCTTGGCGGCGAATAATGAGAGTATGCCTACGCCGCAACCTACATCCAGCACAGTGCGACCTCGAAAAAGATGTTTATTGTGCAATATGGCAGCTTGATAAAAATTGAGACAGCAGAAGTCCTTTAATTGCTCAGCGATCACTTCTACGTGAGCGTTTGTATCCACTTGGAAATCACGTGAAGTCATAGAGTACACCGACTTTGGAGGTGTCTTAGCAAACTTTGGTGAACGACACATCTGCTCTTGTTTCAAAGTCTTTGGCTTGGGCTCTGTAGGAGTACTCTGTGGAACCAGTTTGCGCGCAGCCCCTCTCCGTGTCATCGCTACACCAATCTTTACAAATATCTAGAAAACTTCCAAAAAAATCTAAACTGAATAAAAGTACAAGTATTTTACAACGTAGTTTGCTTTTTAACGGAACAGCCAAAATTTTGGCGCAGAATGTAATCAGTGAGTTTAAAATTCGTTTGTTATCGAAGGGCAGTTGTCAAGACAACTCAGCTGTCAAGAGTTGTCAAATGGAAACAGCTGATCGTCTGCCTAGGGATGAAAAACCTGAAGACTTTAGTTCTTTCCCGAACACTACGCGGGATCCCGCGGGTGCTCAAAATAGCCGTCAAAGTGTTTTCACATGAAAAAAAAAGTGGAACGAAACGAAACTTTCACTTTTTCACAACCCTGACGATTCTCGTTCTGTGAAACAGTGCAACCAACTGTCAAAAACTTATCATATGTAAAAAAAAATATACACAGCCTATTTATACGTGAAAACAAGATGGAGAAGATACCAAGAGGAAAGCGCGCCAGCGAAAACCAAAAAGAGTTTTTAATAAATTATCTAGAAGACAATGTAGACATTGCAAACGATAAGTATGAAGCCTTTTTAACATAAACAAACGAATACCAATTATTTATAATTATAGATTTGTGACGGCAGATGGTGCCAAATTTCGCGAAGAAAAGTGGAAAGAACTAGCGGTGAGCCTTAATGCTCTTGGCGGCACTCAAAAGAATGGTGCAAAATAAATAAATAAATAAATATAGTGCGATAAGGCAGGCAGAGCAGAGAAGTTGTATAAACGGTTTGAGCCGGGCCAAAGCACTGTCACCGCTGGAAGAGCGCATAATTAAGATTACAACTGTGCAGGCAGTCGATGGTGATGAAACGGGCATTGGAAGTTGTTGTGGCTGAATGCGAGTTAGATGGTACTGCAGCCGCAACCACATTGGAAGATGCAACTACGTGTCCAATGATGGGGGCGAGCACCTCAACTGCTGCAGCAATAAGAGGCAGCACAGCATACCATTTTTACGTAAAAATCAAAACCCAACAGAATTCTACATGTTAAGTGCTATGCGTTGGGTAACAGCTTACACGCAAAGTCCATTCGCCAGATTCTTATGTGACAACTCTCATGCAAAGCTAAGTATGCATAACTGGGCTATTAGGAAAAGAGCCTTTTATCACCAGCGCAGGCAAAAGATATTCCTGTACGCTTTTGACAAAAGAACTTAGGTTTAATTATAGATGTAAAATAAAGAACTTCATTATTTCACCGAACTTTTATTAAAATGGTGTCTTAAACTACACCTATGATCATGGGCGTGCGCAGAGCATAATTAGAAATGTTAAAATATAGCTATTAAAAGATTTATAATAATTTACCTGATTAATTTTTATCTTTTCAACAGACTTCAAAAAAAGGAAAGGTTATCAATTCATCTTAATATTTTTCTTTGTATGTAACCGCATAACTTTGGACCACATTAACCCATTTCGATAGTTCTTTAACTATCGGAAAGTTGGTGCTTTAGGGGTGGTCCCATACCAATTTGGTTTAGATCCGATCATTGGATCATAAAGAAATTAACGGTACTTCTCAATTTTTATATGCGAACTAGAGTCGGTTGTTTTTTGCTTAAAAATTACTTGTTATTGTAACAATTGAGTTGTACCGAGCCCTACAAAGGAATTTATTTTGCATAAAGTTTATTATAAACTTATTGAAGAGTTAAAATACCAATTTGTTAGTTACCTTAATAGCGAGCAAATTTTAAAGAGCGTGTCAGACTTGGCAATGTTTCGAACTTTTCGATGAAGATCGCTGTTAAATTGAGAAAGAGAGATTTTATTTCCACGTGTGAACAGAAAGAAGATCTTTCTGTCACTTTTCAGGAGTTAAATTTGCAAGGTGTGACTGAAACTAAAAGCACGCAAACCGATTCCGGATATATATTTCAACTTGCTTGTGCTGCACTAGCAATATGCAATTCGGCTTTCGGAAATTAAAAAGCTCTTTTCAAAGACACTTTACATGCAAGGTGTGACTGCACATACAACTGCTTTCTGAAATTTCTCAATCTGACAGCCTTTTCGAAATATATTGCATTGCCACATCTGACACGCTCTTAACGATTAGTGCCTTAAAGCTAAAATGGGGGAAATTGAGATGATTTCTTTTATCAAAGATCCAGAGATTCGTTTCAGAACAAAAACATTGATAAGATTTTAATTTCCGTTCAAAATAAAAGATGGAAAATGAAATGACTTTCTTGTTATAAAATATTCAAAGGCATATACATAATAAGTATGTATGTACATATATTAAAAGTTAGGACAATCAAAATATGTATGTATACTCATTTCCCTAACTCATTTCGTTTCGAAATTCAGCTCCGTACACAAGTCGGTAGATTACTAACTAAAGAGTTACGTCGAATTTAAAATCAACTACTACATCAAAATATTAGTTCCTATGTTTATTAAATACCAGTGTACGTTATGATTTTAGATGGTCGCTTCTTCACTATCCGATCGACCTGATAAAGCTGTACTAATGGCTATCACACAAAGAGCCTGTTTGAAGTGAAAAGCTGTCAATGGAATAACAGCATGTGCCCAAGAAACTACACCACCTTCAACAGAAACAAAAATTGCTTTTCTCAAGTTCATATTTATTTTTTGTAAAAATACTACTATTACTATGCGAAATTTTAAAGCAAATAAAAAATGCAAAACTTAAAGAGATGAATTAAAAACTTTTAGCTTGTAAATTTTCCCATTAAAATACATACATATACACACTTCAAGACATATGAATTCGAAAACACTTAATTACTTTAGTAACTATGTATCCATATACCAACCACAATCGGGTGGAGCACAACCAATCCAATCTAGATTGAGGGATAAGGGTGGATTTCAATTGTAACTAACGGCATGCATATCTTATTTGTAGGTATGTACACATGTCTGAATCATGTCAAGATTCGAAGTGCTTACGTTGTTGTGATTTATGCAATTACTACATTATACATTCATTTATATCTAGGATCGTAGAATGATCATGTGTGGGAGGTTTATGTCTGAGAAATATGCACAGCCTTCGTTGCAACAATGTTTAACAAAACAAACTGCCTGAGCTATTTTCTGCTTCACTGTTCATATAATCCATTGTCGGTAGTGAGCCACCACGGCGTTGTCTGCATTGCTCTTGATTCAAACGTTCGTTGAACCATTCATCTTGCGATTCTTGATCGTGTTGTTCTTGCCCAAATTCAAGTGGTTGATGATGTGTTTGATGACGTTGAAGATCACTGTAACAGGTACTAATGGTACGACTATGACTAATTTGACTACCTCTACGACGATATTGAGGTAGAACAGCTAAAGCACCGTTGTTGCCATGTGTTAGTAATGATGTGGTAACGGCATTGCTTTGTGCGCTTGTGCTGGTCGCAGTACTATTTGTGTTATTACGTATATTTCTAGTGTTGTTTAGTGTCGGGAAATATTTATATAAATCCAGCAATTGCTTAAGAGTAAAATCTGGTTTATGTGGTACATCGTTCAAGTCGATCTCCCCTGGATTCAATGGTATCCAAAAAGTGGCACCCAGTCCTGCTAAACGGCCTCCCTAAAAATAAGTGACATACGAGTTCAAACACTGTACATGTGAAATCATTATCCTTTCATGCTCACCTTAATGTCCGATTCGAGCTTGTCGCCAAACATGGCACATTGCGATGGTGAGACACCAAGAAAGTTGCAAGCAGCGTAGAATATTTGCGGATTCGGCTTCTCCCATGGTAAATCTGATGACACGAGCATACAATCGAAATATTGACTCACATGCAACTTGTTAATTTTTTCCCATTGTGCATTAGATGGTCCATTGGTAATGAGGGCCAGTAGGAAATTGGCTTCGCGAGCACGACGCAACATTTGTATATAATCGGCAGATAGAGCTAAATAACGATAACGAAGTTGAAGCCATTTTGGATAAATTTGCTCAGCTAAATGTTTGTAGCGAGGTGGAAGAGCTTCACGCCATAAATAAGTGCGCCAGGAATCAAGAGATGTTTGCGAGTTGTCTGGGCAGCGACGAAATGCTTTCAGAAATGACAGAGTTGCAATGCTAGACTCCTCTTTCGATAAGCCAAACTGATTTTCGAGCACTTCACTTAGCTACGAGCGATTTACAAAGAGATTTAATGATTATTTAAGACCTGTGGTTTGAATTCTTTATAAACTTAATAAAATGGAACAATGGGGATTAAAGTACAGTCAGTCATTAAAGTTTAGGTACAGCGAATTTTTTACAATACCGGCAACTATTTGTTAAATATTTTATTTTTCTCTAATTTTTTATTAAAATATGGTAAGTCCAAATTCCTCATACTTGCACTTTATTATACTAAAATATAATGGGCTAAAAAACTGCATACTCAACATTTTTTCTAGAGTGCGTAAATAAAAAGTGAAATATTTGAAAGAAATTTTCCAGAATATTCTTTAATTTTTTTGGGGTTTTTGTTGTAGAATTAACCATATTTTAATAAAAAATTTGTGAAAAATGGAATATTTAAAAATAGTTTCCCGTATTGTAAAAAATTCGCTGTACCTAAACTTTACTATATATGTATGAACATAATATGCCTGTTCATGTAGCAAATATTTTTCAAAAGTTATCAAAAACTATCTCATGGTTTGGTTTTCATGTATCCAAAAAGACTTGCAAAGTTCTTGAGGGGAAGTTGCAAATTTATCCTGCAAAATTTTTTTCCAGTAAAAACTTGCAAGCAAGAAAACAGCTGATCGCATCTTGCTGGGTGCAATTGAAACTAGTAGATAAGGAAACTGATTATGGGTTTTTATAATTTTAAATTAGGTTTCTTCATGTAAAAATGTCTAAAACCATATTTCGTGGCCGGGATCAACAAATAAGTAGAAAAACAAATATTTTATATGTATATATCTTATACGGTGAATAAAATTAGCAAATAACTAACTTTTTTGAAACTTTAGTGGTATTTTACATTTTTTTGTTTTATAAAATATACTTTCGGATGTAAAACACAGCTATTATGGCAATTTGAATTTGCACATTTGTGAAAAAGGAGACATTTACGATCCAAAAGTGGAACGTATTCGATCTCTATTACCCAGAAAGCGTTCCTCATGCTAGAAAAATGGGCAATAGAGAGCGGATATTTTCCACGTATCTTATTTTTACGCTTTAATTACCGAATCAGCCCGGAAAGCGTGTGGAACAAACCCTTTATTAAAAAAAAATTAGTTCTTTTTACTTGGCAACTCTGCTCGTTATCCTTGAATTCTCCGGACGCGGAAATCTAAATTGAAAAAAATTCTTTGACATGTCCAGCTCACTATTTTTATATTTTGCATATACATACATATTTATATATCCCTTTGTACACCGTAATTCATTTCGCAATTAACGAGCGCTGCGGTTACGCGATTTCCGCAAATTCTGTTCCCTTGCCCCTGAATATATTTGCTACAATACATAATCGCAAACGCGTACACCAAACAGACGCGCGTGTTAGTCACCCCTACTGCACCTCTTTTTATCAATAAGCGAATGGAAAATTCCCACTGATTTCTCATGTAGCTTCGATAACCCCACCCCCACCTTTTCCCATCCCAACAAACCTTTTTGACTGCTTTCAAATCACCCGAGCGCGTGGGAATTAGTGTGTTGTCCAAGTCGAAGAAAAGTGCTGTAATCTTCTTTAGATTTTCACCCAATATAGCGTTATTTATATTAGAGCTATTGGAAGCGGTTATACATAAATTAGCAGCATTTTTTGTGCTTTTATGCTTTACAATTTCACCTTCGGCCATCAGAGTAAAAACTTAATGGATAAGCGAGTTTTTCGCTGACGCAATAAAAAATATATTATTTTATACACTGTATTAGTATCAATACAAAAATAAGCTACACAATCGCCTATTGTGATAAGAATTTGAATACGTGTTAGCACCAATCCAGCTTAACTATTATTTATAAAATAATTAAAACTAGAAGACTAAACAACTGCACACAAATTGCAGTTGAGCAGGTTAAATGGAACTGATAGCAAACAGAGAACGGATGATGGTTAAAAAGCAAACAGAAAAAATTATAAAGAGAAAAGAGAAAAACGAAAATAAAACAGAAATGAATGTCAAGTGATGCCAGATCTCAGTTGCACCAAGCAGCGTTGCCGTCAGTGTAAAATCCTGTAAAAATGTCAAACAGCAAAATTACTCTCTCTGAAGTGAGAGTAAAAAAAGTACGGGAACAAAACAAGCATTTTTCCTGTAAAAACGTCGCTTGACATTACCAGAAGAAAAAGTTCGGGTAAAATCTTGCAACTTCATTCTCTACACAACTCTCCGAAAACCGCTCTTATTTATAGGATTTTGGAGTACAGGATCACTTTTCCTGTAACTTCCTGCAAGGCCGTGTAAAAACTTGTAAGTTCATGAAGTACTGGATCAGAGCTATTTTTAAGATGTTTCCAATGCAAATTGGCAAAGTTGGTGTTATTTCATCAGCTGTGAATGGTGCATGTTTGTCAGAATTATTTATTTTGAGAGTGAGTGAAAAAATTAAAACATATTTGTATTTACATATTTGTATTTTCTGCCTCTTGGATAGTGGTCTAAAACTATCGATAGTTCTTTAATTAAAATTCCGAATATCCGGATAAAATGAACGAATATTAACCGGATATCCGGATAGCAAAATTAACGGATATTCGCGTTAACAGTATTTTATCCGTATACACCAATATTCGAATGGACAGTCCCAGCCCTAGTCGATATATTAACCTGAAAAAAATATTCCGATTTAAATTTATAAAACCATTAGTATTTATTTATAAAGGTCTCTCCCTCTCTCTCATGCTATAAAAAATATTTATGTATGTAGACAGTTGTTAGAAATATGCAGACATTTACAAGTTTATAGTCGTTTTAAAAGCACAATGATCAAACGTAGATTTCCTTAGTTATAGATATAGTCATTGACATTATAAGCGAACATTAGTTGCTGGTATGCTATTGATACGATGTAAACATTATAAAAATGTATGTATGTTATTAATCGGCCCTATTATGGTTGTCAACGCCGACCTCGATGCCATTTTTTAATCAAAAATAGTCCTCGTAAATCCAACTCCAGCTACGCTGACCACAGTATTTTGCGGAAAGGTGTTCTTCGCAAAAATGACCACAGTAGCTGGAGTTGGACTTACATTGGCTATTTTTGGATGAAAAAATTACATCGACGTCGACGGCCATAATAGGACCGAATGCGTTGGTTTTTATAAACAAATATTTGTATAGCAAAAACAATTAAATGCCTAATTGTTTATCCAACAATTTCATTTTCAAAAAAATATAAATCATGAAGAAACTCAAATGTACATATTTCTACAACAAAAACAACTTTATCTAATGATGCTAATAATCAACTACAATTTCCTACTGGGATATTATACCAGAATGTCACAGCTGCTTGCAATTGAAGTTTTTATTATTTCTATTCCGACGATTCCTTCCAAAATTCACCTGCCCAATCGGGTAGCGGTGTCTCATACTGCCATCCCGGACCTTTATATTTCCATGCATGTAAATACATAATTAAGTCCTTCGGTTTAGGATCTTTAAAGCGTACTTTGCACTCATAACAATGCTTATCAAAAGTTAATTTCGTTTTGTTATACACAGTATCGGGTGGGGCATGACCAGTTTGAGTGCCAACTGATACTTTGGTTGGTTGCTCTTCAGGCTCTGTCTTTACATCAGTGTCTCTTTCATTAACTATGTCAGAAGGCGTTGTGTCTTCAATTGCATTTGTTACAGTTTCAGGCACACCAGCTCCATTTCCTATAACTTCTTGTTTTACCAAAGTCATTCCTTCACTATCGAAACCACCATCAACTCCTAACCAATTTTCAGCATTGTGTACATGTATCAAATCCTTTACCAGCTCCTCATCGGTTCTACCTCCAATATCTCCACCACGACCTTTGAGCGGCCCAAATACTTCGTGATTATATAGCGGGTCATTTACAATTGGGTAGCCAAATATTGTAAATGACACGTATTTGATGCATTCGTCCAGTTAAGGGTTTGCATAGTAGTACACTTGTTGAGCCGTTGTAACAAATTTTCTCAAACGATGTCGACAATCTTTGCCATTTGGTGAAACTTTGCAGACACCAATCTTATAACTGACAACTTCAATGGGTTCTTTGCATTCAATGATCCCGTCAGGAAAATTTCCCTCCACACGACATACATACTCCTTTTCTACGTCTCTGTTTCGTATCTGTTGTTCCAATAATCTCGCTTTCTTGGGCGTGCGACCAAAAAGCAATAACCCAGATGTAAGTCGATCTAAACGATGGATTGTGCGCAAATTTTTCAAATTGAATTCCTTAGCCAAAATGAAGACAACAGTATTATGACGATATCTACCGCATGGATGAACAGGTATTGATGCGGGTTTGTTTATGACAACTATATCCTCGTCCATGTGCACTATGCTAATATGTTGGTCAGTAACAGGCACTTCATGTCGATGCACAGTATTCGACAGCAAGTCGTTATGCTTTAGCTTATAATCGACTGGCACGCGTTCATAATTCACTTTAAGTGAACCAATTAATATGCTACGTTCATACTCCTCGGGTGGATGAGCACGAAATTCGCGTGAAAATACATCTAATATTTTCTCTCCTACCCAGCGTCCTTTAGTAAATGTTGTAAAGGTGAAGTAATAGGGGTAAACTTTGCGCAACCCATTTTCAAAATAGTAAGACGTCTCATCATATCTATCATCGGAGAATCCGGACGCTTAGCTTTTAATGCCTTCGTCTCCAGTCTCGCTTTCTTTAAAGCTTCAATCTGCTCAACATCTTCAGCTTTCCGCTTTTCTGGAAGTACAACTTTTAATTCACAATTGTTAACGGCCGTTACCAGTGTGCGAACCGCCGGACTATGTTGGGATCAACATTGTAGAACCACGTGCAAGTTAGTGGCGGCTCCGTATTGGAAATAGGTTGGTAAGTGCATCCTTCAAAGCACTATGTTTTCTTCATCACTGTCGCGTCGCCATGTTGCGTCTGAGCATGTCGTGGCATTTTAAGTATAACTTGATTTTGGAAACCTGGTAACATACGGTAAAACGTACCAAATTTATTAAATGCATAAAAAACGTTAAATTAACGCCACAGCCACCAAATTTACAACGAAAGGAGCACAAAACGAACTGCCCAAATAGATTTGTAAACAACCTGGGATCGAACTGTTGGGCCGCACATGCAAAATGCAACGGCGTTACATTTTAGTAAGGCGAATTTATACAAGGGGGTTAATGGCGAATTTAGATTTTCGCCGGGTATTCCTAATGTCAGAGAACGTTTAAACAGAGAACTTAGATAGATAGAGAAGGTGCAAATTTTTGGAACGTAAAATTGTTTGGCTGAAAAATAAATCCATGGAATATCACCACAGCGCGATTAACATTTCAAGAAGAGTTAACAGAGAAAAATGTAAATTTCTGTTATGATAATGTTATATTTGTTGCAAGTGTCTGGCTATGTGTTGCTAGGTTGCATGTGAATGCAGAAACGTATTCATGTATATTTTTTTAATAAAATTAAATAAATTAATATAGTTAAATTATATTAAATGTACTTTTATATTAGTTAAAATTGCTGACTTGCATTTCTGCATGACCATTTGTTAAATATAATTTATTCAGTAGTTAATGTTGCTAAAAACTTAAAAAGCATCTGTTCAAGTTCGCTTCTTGTACGAGTATTATATTATGTAAATAGTAAAAATGCATGTTAGTTAAAAAAATGATAAAATTGGTTTTTTCACATACTCACTTTAAAGATGGACGCATTAACAAAAAAAATTATAAAGCAATGTGTTTGTTAACTTCAAAATTAATTTTCGAAGATATTGGCCAGGGAATGCTTTAACTCCAAAACGTAGATTTGTTATCTAATAAATAGGTGAAAGCTATGCAAATATGCAAACTCATTGGTGATTTGCCGTCGGCATTTGGGTCGCAAAAATCGTTTTTTTTTTTTAACGATTCTTATTGTAGTTGCTACACTATTTTCAATGCAACAAATCCCAGTTTTCTAACTGCCTTAGTTTTTTCACAAACTCACTTTAAAGATGGACGCATTAACAAAAAAATTTACAAAGCATTTATTTTTAATAATTTCCTTTAAAACATAATTCAATCTATAACAGAAACCACAATAATAAAAGTTTAAAAGCTTGCACAAATTGCAAAATAATAAATCAAACTTCAAAAAATTGTTATAAAAATTTCAAAATTTTTAATTAGAATATTTAGAAAATTTTCGGGTATGCAGCTTTGTAGTCCATTCAATCAAGTACACTAAAGTCCAAGTTTCTAGTCGTTAAAAATTACCGTTGATTTCTTAGAATTTTTTTTTGTGGAGGGTGTTCGCATTTTCTTCCATATAACACATGAACCCATTTTTTTTTGTATGAAAAATAAACAGCAACACCCCAACAAAAAAATCGAAAAAATCAACGGTAATTTTTAACAACTTGAAACTTGGACTTTAGTGTACTTGATTGAATGGACGACAAGGCTGCATACCCGAAAATTTTCTAAATATTCTAACTAAAAATTCTTAAATTTTTATAACAATTTTTTGAAGTTTGATTAATTATTTTGCAAATTGTGCAAGCTTTTAAACTTTTATTATTGCGGTTTCTGTTATAGATTGAATTATATTTTAAATGAATATCATTAAAAATAAATAAATATAATTTGTTAATGGCAGCTGAATGTATGTTTACATATGTAAATATGTACCCCATACACATACTCCAAAATCATTTATTGATAACGTTCTTGCACCTGCACATAATATTACATATATGTAAGT